ATATATACACACACACATATATATATATATACACACACACACACACACACACACACACATATATATAAATTGAATTTTGGGAAACTGCAACGGTGCTGCCAACTTTGGCAAACGTCATCCTAATTTACTGTGTTGACTTGGCATTGTACAGAAATGGACAACCATATTGGTCTAGAAATGTTAATTTATTTTATTTTATTTTTTTCCCTGTGTACAGGGGTAACACATCGCACTAAATATGTAAGGTCATATCTACGTGGGTTTGATTACAGAAACTAATAAAGTATTCTCTAGATAATGAAAAAAAAATAAGATAAAACTATAAGAGCGAGAAGCAATTTAAATATGTTCAGGGACCATTTTCATCTCCAGAATTAAGGATTATTTTGATGTTACATCATTGCCTTTTCTCTTTTACTTTCCTTTTTAGTTTTATTTTAGGATTCCCTATTTTTAAAGTTCATACAGAGATTTCTTTAACTGAAATACCGAATAGTTTCTTTGGTGTGAAAAACTATAATAGTACACAGGATCCTAATGAGACAATTAATAATGTGAAATAGGAAGTAAAGGGCTACAGGTGTAAGGAAAGTGGGAAGGAGCAGGGACAAGGGGAAAAATGAGAATCAAGACCTATTATGTAAAGGTACAGAATCCCAATGGTGAATGTAATTGTATTGTATACCTAGATTGTACCAATAACCTCAATAAAAAGGAAAAAAAAACAAATATTGATTTTGTTTTTTGGCTCAAATTTCCTAAAGAAGCCATTACCAAAAGAATCCATGCAGCTGAAATTAGAGTATAATTAACATTGGAGTTTGACTTTGTTTCTTCAAGGGAGAGGAAGTAACACTTCCTCACCTGTTCGTCATGATTTGCTTCTTGCACTAGAAGTGAAGCAAGCAAATAAAAAAAAAGGATTTGACTTTTTAGGAGCCCCCTTTCCCCAAAAGAGATGTTCCCTTCAACTGTTCCTTTTAGAAGTTCTCAGGATGAGCTGCATTGTCTTATTTGATCCCTTCTTTTACAAGAAGACTGCACACAATTAGGATGAAGCCTTGTCACAAGACCTGGATATTTAAATAATAAAGAGTTTTATCTCTCATCTGAGAAGATTTTACAGTGTGCAATAGCCTAGAGACAAATACCCACACCTCTGGGATCCCTAAAAATTAGTAGTTAAGCAGTATTTTACTGTGATGCAGTGAATTTGCAAGAGATACAACTGGACTACTCTCAGGGTCTTAGGAACAAAATTGGTTTCCTGGAGAGCCAACAAAAGAAATCTGGCAAATTAAAAATATTTAAAGAATTTAAGGCC